TAATAAAAAATAAGTTTAATCCACAATAATATACAATAAAATAAAAAAAAATATATACTTTTGATATTTCTATAAATATATAAAAATTCAGTTTTATTCCATAGTAAATAGAACAAAAACTATGAAGAAAGTATAGGTTTTCGGTACTTTTGTAAATATATAAAAAATAAGGTTTATTCTACAATAAAATACAATAAAAATATGAAAAAAGATATAGCCTTTTTGTACTTTTCTAAATATATAAAAGAATAAGCTTTATTCCTCAATATTTATGACAAAATCTATGAAAATTATAAAAATTTTGTTCTTTTATAAATATATAAAAAAATAAGATTTAATCCACAGTAATATACAACAAAAATAAGAAAAAAGTATAGTCTTTTGATATTTCTATAAATATATAAAAATTCCTCAATAATTGTGACAAAATCTATGAAAATTATAGAATTTTTGTACTTTTATAAATATATAATAAAAAAATCAGCTTTATTCCATAATAAATACGACAAAATCTATGAAGAAAGTATAGGCTTTTGGTACTTTGTAAATATATGAAAAAAAAGCTTTATTCTTCAATAAAATACAACAAAAATATGAAAAATGATATAGACTTTTGGTACTTTTGTAAATATATCATAGAAAAAGATTTCTTCCTCAATAATTATGACAAAATTTATAAAAAAATTATTGATTTTTGTACTTTTGTAAATATATAATGAAAAATAAGCTTTAATCCACAATAATATACAATACAAATAAATAAATTATAGACTTTTGATATGTCTATAATTATATAAAAATTCAGCTATATTCAATAACAAATACAACAAAATCTATGAAGAAAGTATAGGCTTTTTGTACTTTTGTAAATATATAATGTTTATTCATCAATAATTATGATAAAATCTATGAAAATTATAGAATTTCTGTACATTTATAAATATATAATAAAAAATAAGCTTTATTCCACATTAATATACAATAAAAATAAGAAAAAAAAGTATAGACTTTTGATATTTCTATAAATATAAAAAAAAAAATAAGATTTATTCCATAATGAATACGTCAAAATCTATGAAGAAAGTCTTTTGTTACTTTTGTAAATATTTAAAAATTCAGCATTCTTCCACAGCAAAATATAACAAAAATATGAAAAAAAGTATAGAATTTTAGTATATCTGTAAATATATAAAAAATAAGCTTTATTACATAATAAAATACAACATAAATAAGAAAAAAAGGATGGACTTTTGGTACTTTTGTAAATATACAAAAATGAAGATTTATTCCATAATAAATAGGACAAAATCTATGAGAAAGTATTGAATTTTGGTACTTTTGTAAATATATAAAAAAAAGCTTTATTTCTCAATAATTATAAATCTATGAAATTTATAGAATTTTTGTACTTTTGTAAATATAGACTTTTGATATTTCTATAAATATATAAAAATTCCATAACAAATACGACAAAATCTATGAAGAAAGGATTTTGATTCTTTTGTAAATATATAACATACAATAAATACAACAAAAATATGAAAAAAGTAAAGACTTTTGTAAATATATAACATCAATCAATTACATCATCAAAAACATAAATGGGGTTAATTTGGATGATTATCAAAAAAAAAGCTCAGAAAACGTTTACTTATTCCCACGCTGTTTTAACCATTTACAGTATTATCGTCCTTTCCCTGCGCATTTTCTTTTCATCCTCGAAACACCTATGAAAATACGCTTGTTTGTGAGCGTTTAAATCCAGCTTTAGAGAGGAGGGGGGATGGTAAAAGTGAATAGGAAATTCAACTTGAAAATTGTTAAATGGTTTCCCCAGGTTTTGGGTAAATTAAATTTCGCATCCCGTGCGAGATTCTCGAAACACATGTCAGGATATGTGTGAGTGTGTGTGCTCCACCCTTTCACCCCGTTTCGAGCTTACCAATTCGCTCTAGGTAATTAACCCTTTTCATAAATTACACGTACACGCATTCCACATACATCCACGACACGAGACACATGCACACACTACACGTTTAATAAATGATTGAGAAGTGATGTACGGAGTATCATAACTTATATGCTCGAAACGCTTCGCATTTCGGAAACGTATTAATTGTTACATAACGTTTCCTTCCTTATACAATATTCATGTGAACGTTGATTAAACTCTTGAAGAGAAACAAAATAATCATTGTAATAACAAAAGTGTTCGAACTGTCATTAGTTATTATTACTTAATCTTTTAAGAATTCTTATTACCTTGATATTATATAATAAATAGATGATATATAAATAATAGATCTGATTTTATAAAGTTATAGTTGATTTTCATATAAAACTATCGATTTTAAAATAATCTACTGAATAATCAAATTGTTTGTATGTTGATCAAAACATCCATTTAATAATTTTCAAATTGTCTAGCCGGAACTTAAACGTTCTCCAATTTCAGGCTTCCAGATAATTGCGTAATGACCCCTTAGATAATTCGGCTTCTTAGAGGTCTCGCATTGCGGCTTCGGCACGGTCGAAATTTAGATATTACCAGAGAGAAACTTAATGATAGTTTTGGTTGGAGAGGGGAAGATGATGAAGAAGAAGGTCGGTTATTATACGGGTGAGGCAACTCCGCCGTCGGCTTCATCATCATCATCATCATTGCTGCTACCAATTCGCCTAGGCCGGGTGGTCCATATGAAAGAAAATCAGGTACAAAAGCAGTTGTGAAATGAATAATTATTAAACTGTTGGCGGAGCAATTTATCTCTCTTCTCCACCTTTTCGGTCTCTTAATGAGAGTACGCTTTTTATCAACGACCCAAGCGGGTAATTACCTACCTTTTTTTGTATTATAATTATTATTTTTCCTTAATTATTTTACGTCCTCGTACACTTTTGACACAAGCAAAACCGCAACGCACTCATTACGTTCAAAATAATCAATATAAACATAACTTTATTTAATTACATATGACTGTTACCTTATTGAAAACAAAGAATTTTGGTAGTCTATGTAGTATTAGTTAATCTACATTCGCACTACATTTCTATATGAAGTATTAACTATTACGTATAGATGGCGGTATTTCAGTTTCAAGGTCATCAACATTGTTATAAAATATTATGGGTATAGCTTGTATCGTAATTTGCGATTCGAAAGTAGTGAGAACAAATCTGAGGATATTTAAAATAGATCTAGTTGGTTAACTAATAAACGTCATTTGATGACAGAAATATGACAGTAATTGCGTCACAGCTGTCAATTCAAGCGATTTCACAATTGATGATTTTAAATACTTTGCTTCAAAGACGTGTTGAATGATTTATAATAAAATAACACAAATTAATCCCAATTTTATTTCTCAACTTTAACGGTTTGTTATTTCATAATAGATAGGAAGTCGATTAAAAAACTCATAGATTCATCTATAATTTGATCATCGTGATTTGATTTCATAACTTTGACGTTTGATTGAATGATTTTTATAATAATCAGGAAGCTTTGGAAATTACATAATTTCATTTACATTCTGAATATATTACTATATCATGTAAAATAACTGAGTCACAGAAGAAATCGTGAAAAATAGTCATGTTTTTAGCTCTAAAAATGTCTATTGTTAAAAATTGTTTACAGAAATTTCATAAAACATAAGAAATTGATATGGAGTACTCAGAAAATCCAAAGATTAATCTATTGTTTGTAAGTATAATGATGGCTCTATTACATAAAGAAATCGTAAAACACTATAAAACGTAGAAAGTAGTTGTGATTTGATTTCTTAACTTTGTGAACTTGAACAGAAGAGACCGTAAAAACTAGTCATGATTTTAGCCCTAAAAATGTATATTTTTAAACATTGTTTACAGAAATTTCATAAAACAAAAGAATTTGATATAGAATACTTAGAAATTCCAAACATTCATCTATAATTTGTAAGTAAAATGATGACTCTATTACATAATGAAATAGAAAAATTCGATAAAACGTAGATAGTAGTTGTGATTTCTTAGCTTTGTGTAATTGAACAGAAGAAAACGTGAAAACTAGTCATGATTTTAGCCCTAAAAAAAAAAAAAATTAAAACATTGATTACAGAAATTTCATAAAACTTAAGAATTTGATATGGAGTACTTAGAAAGTCCAAAGATTCATCTATAGTTTGTAATTAAAATGATGACTCTATTACAAAAGGAAATCGAAAAATACGATAAAACGTAGAAAGTAGTTGTGATTTCTTAACTATGTGTAATTGAACAGAAGAAAACTTGAAAACTAGTCATGATTTTAGACCTAAAAAAGTATATTTTTAAACATTGATTACAGAAATTTCATAAAACATAAGAAGTTGATATAGAGTACTTAGAAAGTCCAAAGATTCATCTATAGTTTGTAAGTAAAATGATGACTCTATTGCATAAGAAAAACAAAAAATGCAATAAAACTTAGAAACTGGTTGTGATTTCTTAACTTTGTGTAATTGAACAGAAGAAAACGTGAAAACTATTCATGATTTTAGACCTAAAGAAGTATATTTTTAAACATTGATTACAAGAAATTTCATAAAACATAAGAAGTTGATATGGTTTACTTGAAAATCCATGATTCATCTATAATTTGTAAATAAATTGATTTGTGAATAAAATTGGTCATAATATGATTACTCTACTTTGACAGTTAGGAAGCTGGTTAATAGCGCATTAGAAAACCCATAGTTATATCTATATTAGTAATATTAAGTAAGATAGTTGAGCACAGTCAATATTATAAAAACAGACAATAAACATGAACTCATACTTTGTATATTTGTGTTATGATTATGGCTATGTTTTTATTTCAAATATCATTAGATTATTAAGTATTAGGAAAGATAAATGTTTACTTAATTGGTGAAGATATATGAAAAGGATGTGTTAAGAGAAACGAACAGATTTAATACTCGAAAATAAATTTATTTAGCATTTTTTTTTGTTGTTGTCATGTCATTCAGTTTTACACTTGGTAAATCACGAAATGTCTTCCTTTAAAATCATAATTTCAATGTTTTGCTGAGTAAAATACATATATAATAGTAATATAGAGATGCACGTAAGTAGAAGCGATGCGGGAGGTCAGTTTTCGGGTGGCGTTTTTTTGTTTGTTTGTTTTTTTTTACTTGGCAAAGCGTTCGCAGTCCATCATCTTCTGGGCTTCCAGCTGGATGAGCTTGTAGATGGCCATGACGGCGTCCATGGAGGATTTGCAGTTAGTTTCGCCGCCGTTGAGACTCCTCTTTCCCCATCCCGTGGAGTAGGTCAATTGTGCAGCGGAGAAGGCGACGACTGAAGCCAGGAGAAGGACGACTGCGACGAATCTGAACATCTTTGCACAGTTTTTTTGTTGTTGTTGAAGTTGTTAGGATCTGAAGACTGGATGCGATTGCAAACACACAGAAGCGAATGATGCCTTTCCAACTTCATCCCCGACTATTTATACAACCGCAAAACCATATAATGGTATCATTACAAATTAATGAAACCTCACAACGTGTGCCTGTGACTAATTAAAATGAGACGATTTAATTAAAGCCCCGACTATATTCACTCCCCCCCTCTTTCATCCCCTTTCTGGCACAATTGATTGTCCATCCGAGTGGCGGATCCGATGTGCGTAGGACACTAAATATTGACATTCGACGATCGCTATGATAACAATCGGATTGCTTCCACTTGTTCAGTTGCGAACGCAACGAATCAATAACGAAAAACCCTTGTCACAAATTATGTAAGTAGACTGCTTCATTATATGATGGTAATCGGGGAAAAATTCGCTACGAACTCAATCAATAATAATATCATAAATTATGTCGAAAAACGATTCATGAAATATTTATCAATTCTCCAAAATATCCTTGAAATTATACAAATCTCTTTCTCATGTAAAATTTTAATTCACTTTTCCTGATTCGTCCATTTTCTATTTTCCAGATTGATCAACTTCTTAACAAGATTTATGTAATAATAGATTACACCAATTTCATTACTGATCAAAATATTTACAATTGTTATAAAACGTAAACAAAATTACAATTGATTTATACATAAAATTCTAATTAGTATTAACAATTATAATTTTTTTTTTTCTTTTTTCATTAAAATATTAACAAACTTTAATAATCAAATAATTAAAAAAAAACTGTACAAATTTAGATGAATAAAAAAATTGTAAATTAATTAATTAATTAAGAACTATTGCAATTTTATAACAAAAGTGTGGATTTATAAAGTTTTTACTTTATTTTATTTTTAATATTGCAAATTATAAATGCAGTTGAAATTGTGGGAAAATATACCAGTAATTAATTATAAATTTGTATACAAAGAGAGGGAGAAATAATGAAAAAGAGAATCATTAATTAATATTGTTAAGGGTGGAATGAATACTATAATTAACTCAATTATATATTAATTGGAATATTTGATACTGTTCAGTTATGAAGAGAATAAAATACAAACTAAAAAAAAATAACCAAATATTTCTATAATTATTTAACAATTTTTATTTTGCTGCTTTATTTTTCATGGAAAATGTTTATTATTTAGTCATAACTCAAACTGATTAATTCCTAAGTAATTTCATGTATTTTTTATTTATCTAAATTTAAACTAATTTTTTTTTTCTTTAGATTTGGTAGTGGCTAATTTTATTATTTATTTATTTTTAGATTTTTTTTATCTATTTTCAACTAAAATTTGATTTAACTTTGATTTGATTGATGATGATTATATTGTAATTAATTTGCAGTACTTTATATCTATTTTATATTAAAAAAATGTATTTCGTCGAGATTTAATTAAGTTATTTAATGTATTTTGTACAAGGTGGCCTAATTGAACAGCAACCAACTTAAAACTGCTATAACTTTCGAACCGTTAGTAATGTTGTGTCCATATTTCGCCTAATGATTGCTGATTTTATTGCTTACAAGCCTGCGGCATTTACATCTCAGTTTTTTTGGAAGAATATTATCAGTGATGGAATTCAAACATAATAGTGTGATAGCCCAATATTTGAGCGGAAAATCAAACAATAGCCAGATCGAACACCTTAATGTGAATAAATCTTTCATGTCTCAACGTTATAACGAAGCTAATACTGTTAGAAAATGCTATTTTGGTGTTCGGAAAAATCTACATCTGTGGTAGAAGTGGTTTGGAAACTTAAGGCTCGAATTGAATGAAATCCGTTACGCAGTGGAAGACAAATGACTATTCAGCTGAACATATCAAAAATAACCATGCAACAAATACCGAAAATCAAACTCAAAGTGAAGCCTTGCAAGTTCCACAAAGGACAAGATCTTACCGATGTTCAAAAAAAAAATAGGCTCGATAGAGGAGGAATCTGAAGGATCTGTTGCGCTTGCAGGAACGCAGCCAATTGCAAATATTTCTTTGTGTCTGATGAGAAAAATTTCCCAATTGAGAAATTCATAAACAAACAAAATGATCGAATTTATTTGGAAGAGAGGTCAAACCAACTTTTAGACATTCGTTTGTGATAGTTTGGGAGGCTGTGACGGTCAATATTCGCTCTCCGTTGGTGTTTTTGGACCGTAGCGTCAAAAGTTTTAGAAGATGTTCTGAAGCCGTGGACAACCAAACATTTCAGTCAGAAAGAATGGACGTTTCAAGAAGATTCTGCACCATCACACAAAGCACATGAAAACCAACAATGGCTGAGAGACAACGTTCTACACTTCATTTATGATCGCACGGTGACCAGATGCAAATCCGCTAGAGTTCTCGGTATGAGGCATTTTACAGGTCAATGTTAGCACTACAAAATGTGTTCATGTGTTCCAATTTCAAATAAAAAAAATTAGAGCGTTATGAAAAGTTGCAATTGCAAACCGAAAATGTATTTTTGTGAGATTTTATTAAGACTTATGAAGACTTATTATATACGAATTATTTTAGTGCTTTCTGTATCAATTTTAAACTGAAACATATATTTGATTGAAGCTGATAATATTCTAAGTAATTTCCTGTATTTTCTATCTATTTTTCACTGAAAATTTCTTTATTTCTAGATCTGAATAAAGCTGTAAATAATTCAATGTATTTTAATTCATACTAATAATTTTTTAGATGTAATTTCAGAAAATTGTAGTTGAAATGTCTGAATTTAATTACTGAAATGCATTTGGAATCAATAGAAATAAAAAAAAAACTAATTATAAATCAGCCGTAAAAAATGTGGAGGCAATAATTTCAGTTTGCCATTTATTGAGTTATAAAACGGTTTTCGTTATCGCGTGTTAGTAGTAAATCTTTGCCCGCAAACTTTATATCGTTTCGATCGAATTTTTCGTTTTAAGTTTAATTCACCTGAGAAAGCAGGCTTTTCTGCAACCCCCAAAACCCAACCAACTGGGAACGAGAAGAGACGTGAGTGAGGCTGGGGGACGAAAGAGTAATTTTAAAATTTATTGGAATTCGGGAAATAAAACTGTAAGTAATTTAATCGTTTTTTTTTTTCTGTAAATTATTCAAAAGTATTTCGAATTTTACGGCTTTTCCGCGAAGGGGTGTCTTTTTAATTAAAGGGAGTTTCGCAAAACAAATTTTCTTCAGACACAAATTTCACATAGGAAACAACGCAAGGCGTATTTTTCTTTTGTTCCTCAAACATTTTTTTTCTTCGTACGCGTAATTATTATTATTATTACGCAATGAAAGTGCGCCCTCTCTTAGCATTTTTTTTTTCCTTCATAATTACGGAACGTCGACTCTAAGTTCAAAATTTATTCAAAGGGATCAAAAGTGAAAAGGTTGCGTCATTGGATTATGCGGAATGAGCCGGGCGGATTTCATCTGAATTTTATGAACTTCTTAATGAACTTCTTCTCGACTCGACGGCGAATCCAACAAAGAATAAGAGAGAAAGAGCAAAAAAAAATGGGACAATACATAAAATAATATAATGAAAAATACCGAGAAAAGGACACGCAATTAAAAGAAAATTAGAAATAAAAGTGTGCTTTCTCATTTGAATAGACGAGGCTGGAATGCATAATATTAAGGAAAAAAATGGATAATAAATGGATTAAAAGCACATTTTTTGTTGGTTTAAGATGTTGTTTTTTTTTTAGATGGGCGGATTTTCGAAAAGTTCATCGGAACTTGGAGCGTTGCGTTAAAGTTTTCATCAAGTCTAGTAGTAGATCGATTGTAAAGGCGATACATAATAACACGATTTCCATCCGACCCTATGAAATTTTCAAACTTTAATTATACGCTGCAGGAAGTACGTGCACGATGTCTATCTAAAAGCCGAAAACTAATTTCACATCTCTTCATTTATTTTTCTTTTTTTTGCAACGTAAAATATTTTTGTTAAATATTAAAAATTTAAATCAAGTTTGAATTATTTTTTTTTAGCTTCATTCAATTACAACCTGCAACTTTTTAGTTAATTAAATTTAGTTTAAAAATAATATTGATACTTCATTGATTTTCACTTATGCAATGAGAATTTAAAGTAATTTAACAAATATGATTTTTTTTCCAGTTCAAATTTCAATATTTATTTGAAACTTCTTTTCGCTTGAATCCATTTGTAATTAATCAGTTTTTATAGCTTAATTAATGATGAAATGTATAAAAAATACAAATTGAAAATGAGTTTATTCAATATCAAACACAAACATGATCATTTCAAATAGTTTTCTTATAAAGGGTGTCCCAAAATTAACGCAAGATTTGAATTTGCCGCCATTTGTGCAGTAAAGTGTCCAATTGTTTTTTTTTTAGGTTTTTGTTAAATTTAAAAATTTAAATCAAGTTTGAATTATTTTTTTTTAGCTTCATTCAATTACAACCTGCAACTTTTTAGTTAATTAAATTTAGTTTAAAAATAGTATTGATACTTCATTGATTTTCACTTATACAATGAGAAATTAAAGTAATTTAACAAATATGATGATTTTTTCAGTTCAAATTTAAATATTTATTTGAAACTTGAATCCATTTGTAATTAATCAGTTTTTATACCTTAATTAATGATGAAAAGTATTAAAAATACAAATTGAAAATTATTTTATGTTTTATATTGAAACACAAACATGATCATTTCAAATAATTTTCTTATAAAGAGTGTCCCAAAATTAACGCAAGATTTAAATTTGCTGCCATTTGTGCAGTAAAGTGTCAAATTGTTTTTTTTTGGGTTACCAACACTATACTGCAGAAATGGCGGTAAATTCAAATTTTGGGACACCCTTTATAAGATTTTTCATATAAATTGGATAATCTAGATTGAATTGTAAAAATCTTTCTTTTTCATCATGCAAGATTTGTGCACTTGTGCAGGAATTATTTAAAGATAAACATGATATTTTTCTGAGATAAATCAAACATAGTCGAAATTCTTATATAAGTTTATTTTCATACAAATTGAAAAAAAAAATT